GCAACAAAACTCCGGCCAGCCTCCGCCACTCAGATCCGACGCTGGATTGTTTCTCCAAGCCGCCCCACCAATTTCCACCGGTGGACAGCCCGACAGCCAAGTTCCACGTCCGCCTCTGCTCCACAACCTCGCGCCGAGCCATCAGTCGTCAGTAGCCATCGCCTACCTCCTCTATCGTGCGATCCGTCGTCGAGCGGTCGCCTTCAAGCCCGAGCCGCCGAACCCCTGCTTTCTCACTTGATCGCTTGGATCCGATCTGCGTCGCAGGCAAGACCTCGCCTCTCCTTTTTATCATTTCGATATTTACATTCTATATGTGTAGATTAATTGTATTATAATTAACTGCGTGGGCCGTTGGTGAATATTGTTGATTTGAATTATAAATGTGTGATGAGTAGTATTTTCAGAATAGTTGTCATAAATTAAAATAATTTATTTGGTAACAGAATTATTTTAAAGAATGTTTTTTAAAGGAATCTATTTCGAGGAAAAAGAATTATTTTAGAATCTTATTTTGAAATGACAAGTGAGGTGTTAAATTAGAAATTACGTAATTTCATCGAAAAGAAATTAATTAAGGGAAATTTATAAAATAGAAAAATATTACTTTTCATGCAGAAAGGAATTAATATAAATATATATTACATAAATATTTTTATTTTAAATTAGTTATAATGAGAAATAGTTTCAAAGAATAATTTTGGAAAAAGAATATTATTATTATGATAGTATGACTGATTATATATATATATATATATATATATATATATATATATATATATATATATATTACATAAATATTTTTATTTTAAATTAGTTATAATGAGAAATAGTTTCAAAGAATAATTTTGGAAAAAGAATATTATTATTATGATAGTATGACTGATCTTCGTAGAGCGCGATATTTCATGTGCAAAACGATATCGGTTTCTAGTGAATACGTAAGTACGGATAATTTGTATGAGAAGTTCGGACATCCCAGTGGTAAGATAATAATGAAGCCCCCTAATGTATTGCATTCATGCTATAGTATTTTGTCTATGCATTTCATGTTCATTAAAGTTCTCATTTCTACTTCATAAACCTGCTTAATCATGTTTAACAAGCCATACTATCTTCATGATCCATTGACGTATTGAGAACCTTAGTAGTTCATGATTTAGTAGACTTGTGCGTCATGAACAGACTTAGTGACATGTGTGAGTGTGTTGTCTGCTTAGGCGGTGAACCCGAGTTTTCAATGAGTTTATGGTTCACTTAGAAAAACAAGAAGAGTTAGGATAGGGAAGTCAGTGTTCAGGTGATCGGATAAGAGTGTTGATGTATCTTCCAGGCTCGCGCCAGTGGTTGGTGTCGCCACTGGGGTCGGTTTGTAGAGCTAAAGTGAAGTGTGTACATCACTTTAGTCAGTGGAATCATTTCATTACCCGAGTTTTGCTTGAGTTCGGACCAGGCAGAAAATGTTTTACGTGTAGTCCCTTGGCCGCATGTGTAGCGGGATTGGATGCACGTAGGGGATTTGTGAACAGCCAGTTATCCGATGACAGGAGTGTTGACTCTGTGTGAGATGTGGACCACTGATCTTTAGGTTGGTTAGTATTTGACCCAGTCATTGTATTCACAAAGCTGTAGGTTAACATTAGATTTCCATTTGCATGTATCATTATCTTTCTTATTAGTATTATTATTGCTATAGCATGGGTCGTTAGACCGTTTTATTTGTTAATGTGAGATCTTGCCGTGTGCCATGCACGCTGATGTACACCTGTTTTCTCTGGTGTGCGTCACACTTAGGAGACGAACAGGTTTAGTTCGATGAAGCAGCCGAGCCAGTGTATGCCCAGTCAGAATGTCCTTCCGATGGAGTGGAAGAACAAACTGAAGCCTAAATGTGTTTTTCTTTTCTGTAGTGCCATGCACATAGCTGTAGGTTACCATTAGATTTCTAGTTGCATGTATCATTGTCTTTCTTTTTAGTAGTATTATTATTGCTATTGCATGGGTCATTAGACCGTTTTATTTGTTCTTGTGAGATCTTGCCGTGTGCCATGCACGCTGACGTACACCTGTTTTCTCTGGTGTGCGTCAGACTTAGGAGACGAATAGGTTCAGTTCCATGATGCAGCCAAGCTAGTGTATGCCCAGTCAGAATGTCCTTCTGTTTTATTTGTTCATGTGAAATCTTGTCGTGTGTCATGCACGCTGACGTACACCTATTTTCTCTGGTGTACGTCAGACTTAGGAGACTAACAGGTTCAGTTCGATGATACAGCCGAGCCAGTGTATGCCTAGCCGGAATGTCCTTCCGTTAGCTGAACCCCGCTTCTCATGTCAGATCCGATATGCGTCGTAGGCAAGATCTTGCCTCTCCTTTTTATCATTTCGATATTTACATTCTATATGTGTAGATTAATTGTATTATAATTAACTGCGTGGGCCGTTGGTGAATGTTGTTAATTTGAATTATAGATGTGTGATGAGTAGCATTTTCGGAATAGTTATCATAAATTAAAAAAATTATTTGGTAACAGAATTATTTTAAAGAACGTTTTTTAAAAAAAAGGAATCTATTTTGAGGAAAAAGAATTATTTTAGAATCTTATTTTGAAATGACAAGTGAGGTGTTAAATTAGAAATTATGTAATTTCATCAAAAAGAAATTAATTAATCGAAATTTATAAAATTAGAAAATATTATTTTTCATGCAGAAATTAATGAGAAATAGTTTTAAAGAATAATTTTGGAAAAAGAATATTATTATTATGATAGTATGACTGATCGTCATAGAGCGCGATGTTTCATGTGCAAAACATAGGTTTCTAGTTTTCTTTTTACCCTATTATTATATTAGAGAATACGGATAATTTGTATGAGAAGTTCAGACATCCCAGTGGTAAGATAATGATGAAGCCCCCTCATGTATTGCATTCATGCTATAGTATTTTGTTTATGCATTTCATGTTCATTAAAGTTCTCATTTCTGCTTCAAAAACCTGCTTAATCATGTTTAACATGCTATACTATCTTCATGATCTGTTGACGTGTTGTGCGTCATGAACAGACTTAGTGACATGTGTGAGTGTGTTGACTGGTTAGGCGGTGAACCCGAGTTTTCAATGAGTTTATGGTTAACTTAGAAAAACGAGAAGAGTTAGGATAGGGAAGTCAGTGTTCAGGTGATCGGATAAGACTGTTGATGTATCTTCCAGGCTCGCGCCAGTGGTTGGTGTCGCCACTTGGGTCGGTTTGTTGAGCTAAAGTGAAGTGTGTACATCACTTTAGTCAGTGGAATCGTTTCGTCACCCGAGTTTTGCTTGAGTTCGGACCAGGAAGAAAACGTTTTATGTGCAGTCCCTTGGCTACATGTGTAGAGGGATTGAATGCACGTAGGGGATTTGTGAACAGCATGTTATCCGATGACAGGAGCGTTGACTCTGTGTGAGATGTGGACCACTGAGCTTTAGGTTGGTTAGTATTTGACCCAGTCATTGTATTCACATAGCTGTAGGTTACCATTAGATTTCCAGTTGTATGTATCATTATCTTATCATTATCTTTCTTGTTAGTATTAGTATTGCTATAGCATGGGTCGTTAGACCGTTTTATTTGTTCATGTGAGATCTTGCCGTATGCTATGCACGCTGACGTATACCTGTTTTCTCTAGTGTGCGTCAGACTTAGCAAACGAACAGGTTCAGTTCGATGATATAGTCGAGCCAGTGTATGCCAAGCCGGAATGTCCTTCCAATGGAGTGGAAGAACAAACTGAAGCCTAGACGTGTTTTTCTTTTCTGTAGTGCCATGTACATAGATGTAGGTTACCATTAGATTTCCAGTTGCATGTATCACTATCTTTCTTGTTAGTATTATTATTGCTATAGCATGGGTCGTTAGACCGTTTTATTTGTTCATGTGAGATCTTGCCGTGTGCCATGTACTCTGACGTACACCTGTTTTCTCTGGTGTGCGTCAGACTTAGGAGACAAACATGTTTAGTTTGATGATGCAGCCGAGTCAGTGTATGCCCAGCCGGAATGTCCTTCCATTTTATTTGTTCATGTCAAATCTTACCGTGTGCCATGCACGCTGACGTGCATCTGTTTTCTCTTGTGTGCATCATACTTAGGAGACGAACATGTTCAGTTCGATGACGTAGCTGATAAATATTAGAACTCTTTATAGTATTGTCCTTAGTTTGATGAAAGACTCAGTTATTTTATTAGTATTTTTCTTTTATCATAGACTATGTGTTTTTATTCCTAGTTGGACCGTTTTTGTAATAAGGGTATGTTTGACACATATTTTTATGTCTGGGATGATTTACTATGGATGATATGTTTATTTCTTATTCTTGATTGTCTTTATATTCTTGCTATTGTGATCGGGGATCTATGATTGAGATTTACGTATTTGACGCTTAGCGTGTTAGATTGAGAAGAAAAGAAAAAGAAAAAAATAATAGTGTAAATTTCTTCTCAATCTAATACGTTGCGAACTTGTTCACGTTCTGATTCCTGAGTATTTTAGGAAGCGGGGCATGACAGGTTTTAGTGGTGGCTCATGCAGGTCACGGTCCCGAGTCCTCACTAGTAAGAATATAGTAGACAATTTAGATACATATCATGTTTCATCTGTAAGACTATTATTAAGTTCTTATACCATTATCTTAATAACTATGTTTTAGCTCCAATTTTCTAATATATTGTTTTGATTTTAACCCTAATTCTTTGATCCTCGTTTTCCTTCAGAACCATGGTGGGTACTCGAGGTTTTAGTAACCCGTCTAGTAGCAGTGCCCCACAGCCCGAAGTGGATCCAAACCAACTTCTGGCGATGAGTCTAGTAGCAGTGCCCCACAGCCCGAAGTGGATCCAAACCAACTTCTGGCGATGATTCAGGGATTGGTCACCAATCAGCAGCACCTGGCTGGATAGCTACACAGGGAGCCTCAGCACCAGCCTCCCCTTCGTGCAAAGTCTGGAGTTAGAGAGTTTTGATATATGCGGCCTCCTTCCTTTTCTGGTGCCGAGGGACCTTTAGCAGCGGAGGAGTTTCTCAATGTCACTGAGACTATTCTCACGGTAACCCGCATTGTCCATGCTGAGTAGGTGGACCTCATGGATATTCAGCTCACTGATACCTCTCGGATATGGTGGGCAGCTGAGAAGACTCATCTGGAGAGGCCCATTCTGTGGGAGACGTTCACCGAGCGCTTCAACAGGAAATATTTTCCTCTGTCAGCTCGGGATGAACTCCTACGTAGATTTGTTGAGCTTAAGCAAGGAGGGCGAACAGTTGATGAGTACGAGGCCGAGTTTTCTTCTTTGAGCCGATATGCTCCCCACTTGGTTACAGACCCTATGATTAGGAGGCATCAGTTTCAGAAGGGTCTGGACAAGTACATTAGGATGGCTCTGGTAGGTAGAGCTTTGGCGACCCATGATGCGGTACTGGATGCAGTACGTGAGATTGAGAGCGTACATAAGGAACCTAAAGACTCTCACGTGATTCAGAGTAGGACACCAGCAGCTCCGGCCCGGAATGTCGAGCGTCCCCCTCCGAGACATCAGCAGCAGGCTCCGCAGAGGTCCGCGAGGCAGCAGCAGGCCTGCAAAGGCAAGGCAGGGCAAGCTCTGTAGAGGCTAGCAGCTGTAGGCAATAAAATTGCTTATAGGTCCCCTAGCGTAGCTCGCACAAACCGACGAACAACGAGGCGACGCCAAGATCGACGAATGGCACAGAAGCGAACGGAGTGACTCCACGACCGAGTGGCAGAATTAAGCTAATGAGTTTGAGGGAATCAACGAGTCATCCAACGCGAGAGCGGGACCTCGGGGACGAATCACATCGATCAATATCAATTTCGGACATCGAACTCAGAAGCGGATTTTACTGCCACAATCAGGATCGCAAGCCTTACTTGCCAATCAGATCATCAAATCAGAGTCTCAGATCAAACCCGAACGGCAAACGAGACATGACGGAAGAACGACTCGAAGAAGTCGGAAAACAGCCCGTGGGCTCGGCCACACAAGCCGAGCCACCGCCAAGGTGGCCTCGGCCTCAGCCGAGCCACCTTGAGGTGGCTTCCGGTGGCGCGAGCCACCTCAAGGTGGCTCGGCCAAGCCGAGCACCCTGAGGTGGCTCGGTGGGGCCGAGCCACCTCGGGGTGGCTCGGGCCAAGGCCGAGCCACCAGCCGCAAGGTGGCTCGGGCCAAAGCCGCCGCCACCTTGGGGTGGCTCGGCGGCGCAGCCACCTCGGGTTGGCTGCGCCATGAGCGCGAGGGCCATGCCGCCAAATAGGTGGTAGGCAGCAAGTGTCGGCCGACCCCGAGGTGGCCGACAGTGGCCCGCAGGTGGCCGAGCAGTGGCCAGAGGTGGCCGACGATTCTCTTTTGCAGCCACTGTGCCTGAGAGCCTATAATAGGCCTAGAGATGTTCATTTTGCGGAGGTCGAACTTGTCAAGAGCCGAAAACTCGCGGATTGAAGCAGTGAACTCGGAGCCTTGAAGACGGCAGAAGACTTGGCACGCATTCAGATCTGATCCTCAGCGAGCCATCCACGTCAGAAAAAGGGCAGGATCTCGAGCAGGAAGAAAGACGCAGATGCTGAGATCCCTATCACGTAGGCTACCTCCAGATCTAAGCTTGGTCTTAGATCTGCGAGATGACGAGCGATTATTCCCTTGGTGATTAACCCTGCTAGGCTATTATTCGCCTTCGTCTGGAATAATACGCGCGGCATACTCGTGGGGTAGATCCGACCGGATCTAGTGCGCGCGTGGTCGCAGCGATTAACCCGTGGGCGCAGCAAAGAACCACCAAAGCGAGCGACCGCAAAACGGACCTCGTGATTGTTCACTCGAGGAGGAGTTGTAATTTTATCTTTATTTATTTGATTTAATTGTAACCGCGGATGCTATAAAGACCGGATCATTTTGTAACGTCGAAAAGTTGTAACTAAAGATGACAATCTCATTAATGAAGAAAGGCAACGGCTTTTCCATCGGCGAACAATCTTGGCGACGCACAGTGGGAGCCGACGATGCTCGGCCAACGAGATCGATGCGTGCGGCAGCCTGCGGATTGCAATCCCGGTCGTGGAGGGAGGTGCGAGTACCGAGTTCGACCAAGCAATTCGAGAGTACGTGTCGCTCGTCCGGGCTCTATGCTCCCACCCCG